CACAGCTCTTCTGGTAATGGTAATTGGAAAGTAATTTCTCATCCATGTGGTAATTCAGCATCTGGTGCACTGAGCTTCTGCAGGCTGACTCTTAGCTACTTTCATATGTCGTGTACGTGCTAATTTAGATAGACTGGCTTATGTCTCAGGACACTTTTACTCACAGTGGACTTATTCCTTGTTCTAGAGCTCCTGCCAAGGAAGTAGAACTTGAGCATTTGGACAGCTGAAGCAGGTTTTATTGATAGTGTAACTTCACTGATGTTGTTCACTGCAAACCATTTAGAAATTGTTTGAAAAACGAGGGAGACAGTAGCCAAACTGCTGTTGATAAAAAGTTTAGGATAATGAAGAGGAGGGACATCATGAAGAGCAGGAAAGACTTGCAATCAGAAAAAATGGCCATTAAAGTAATAGCTAAAACTGACTCGATAAATACAAAAGTCCCACAAAAAGCAGTGTTGTGGTTTCATCTACACAGTGATGGGCACTGGGCTGTTGGTGCTCAAGATAATGGTTCATTAGACACCAGCTTGTTCAGCTGTGATGGGAACAGCAAAAGAAACCAGTGAGAATTATTGGGGAGGAACAACAAAATAGTGGAATAGTTCTGGCTCTGTGAGAAATCTGTTGCACCTCAGGCTGGCTGGGTCTGGTCCTCCCTCTCCAGAAAGCAGAGCAGAACTGGGAAAGGGCAGGTGCAAACTGGCCAGCCTGGCAGGAAGGGAAGGGGAGAAGAAAGCAGGGCTGTCTTAAGTCTCCAATGGCATGGAGAGCTCAACAGCCATTGTCTTATCCAGTCTCATCCTGGACCAAAACCAGAGGGCACTGGCAGGGAGTGAGCTGGAAGGAAGGAAAGGCAGTGATTTTTTTTCTTTCACGTAATCTGTAATTAAACTTTCCTGGTAATGTAGTGGGTGATGTATTGCTTCATAGATTTAAAAATAAGTGGAGAAATGCAGAAAAGGCAAATCCTTGAAAAGCTGGGAGAGAGCATATCCCCTGAGCTGCTGCTGGGTGGCTGGAAGGTGCCTGGCTTCACTGAGAACCAGCTCCACATCCCAATGTCTTTTTTGCTGCTCATCCATAGGCAGCTGCTGTTACTCAAGCTCAGGATCAGGATAAGGCTGGGCAGGACAGTTTGCTGCCCTGACCTTGTTCTTGTACTCTTCAGTTTTTAGAATCCCTGTCTCTTCACTATTGTTTTATACAAAGGCGTGAAAAAACTTCTCTTGTTTATCCCTAACTTGTTGCTGAGTTGCTGGACCAAATTCTGCTATGTAAGGCTTCAATAAGCATGCTGCAGTTTTGGCTCATGCTTTCTGGTAAGAAAATTGGGTAAGCCTAGACCTTTGTGGCTGTAGAAACAGGTGTAGCTGTGGTATGTTGCCTTAAGATCTGTTGATTGTGTTTGTGTCTGAGTTGGTTGTGGTTCACCTTGAAGGCTTGCTCATATTCTCAGGTTCTGGTGTTTGAGACTATCTGGGCTAGCTGATAAAATGAATGCTGCCTTCCTCTGGATGTACACTTCAACAAGGACACCTGGATGGCTGGAGGAATGCAGAACGTGGTAGTGGTGGGTGCACAGCTACAGCACCAAAGGGATGGTCCAAATAACTGAGCATCCTGCCCAAATGAGCAGCTGCAAGGATGGTACTCATGGTATTGTGTGTCCAGCGTGGGAGTGCTCCAAGGGGAAATGTGTGCAATGTGTGGAGGGGGCTGTGCCCCATGTCAGCGTTTGCTTTTTGTCCCAGCCATGGTCATGTTGGCACCCAGGTGAGGGAGTGGCTAGCCTGTCACTTCATGCCCCGTTACTGAGTGCAGAGCGGGGCCAGTGGGGATCAGTTGAGCTTTGTGCAGAAGTTTGTTACGTTTTGTTCTTCCCAGAGGTTCTGTGTTGCAGCTGAAACAGATTATTCATTGTTAATGTGGGAGTCTTGGTGGATGCTTAGCACTGATGACATTGAGTGCTTGCTGAAATGAGCTCAGGGCTGGTCTGGCCCTGCATAATTCCAAGAAGCTGACCATGGCATCACAGGATCATTTATGCTGGAAAAGCCCTCTAGGATCATTGAGTCCCATCATTAACCCAGCACTGCCAACAAGCACTACACCACATCCCTAAACACCACTTCTGTGTGTCTTTTAAATTCCCCCAGGGATGGGAACTCCCCCATTGCCCTGGGCAGCCTGTGCCAAGGCTTGACAGTCCCTTCTCTGAATAAATTGTTCCTAATATCCAACCTAAACCTTCCTTGGGGAAACTTCAGGGTGGTGCTATTGCTTGTTGCATTTAAGTGTTACATAATGCTTCACAAACTTGTTACAAGTCTGTTTTGTTGATTATGTTATTTTTTTAGTGTGAGTCAGACAGTCAGTCATGGTTAGCTTGTGTGGAAAAGCAATTGCAGGAGAAAGGTTTTTATTTTCCCATTCTAAAAACTGAGCTTTTCAGTTCCCCCACTTAACAAATGATTACTTTCTCATGCCTTTTAAATGCATTAGGGACCAAAATTAAACAAACTGAAGTACTAAATGATTTACTTTATCACAGTTGCTAACTACATCACAGAAATCATGAGTAATACCAAAAACCTTTGGACACAAGGTTTGCCAGCTGATCGCTGCATTGTTCCCAGTCTGAGGAAACACTCGAGAGTTTGGTCCTGCTCAAAACTGCTTTTCTGTACATTGAGTGTGGCACTGCTGAGGATTTCTTATTATTACACAAGAGAGACTTAGTTTATCACTTCTGTGAGAATGTCAGGGATGTAATGTGGGGAGAATCCTCAGTTCCTGTGGGAAAGCAGCTCTGGCTGTGCTGCCCCTGGCCGTGGGTCTGCTCTGGTGCAGAGTGGGCTCTTGTGAGCCTGCACCAGGTGGGAGAAGTGCCTGATCTCCAGGACAGGGTGAGCACATGGTGTAACCTGACCCGCAGAAACAAAATTCACACAACTCGTAAATCCCTTCCCTGCCTTTGTGGCCTCAAAGGTGATGCACTCTAAAATGTTTTGGGGTCAAATAAGTGTATTGGATTCTCTGCTATATACATAATGAAGCAAATTCCAGCTACACTGAACTCCAGGGAAGTGTGCTCTTGGTTTAAAGGAAATAATAAATTTTCTTTGTGTTCACTTGTCATTTTTCCTGGACTCTGTTTCTAGTTTAAAGCTGTAAGAGAACTTAAAAAAGGCAACCTGATGTTACACAGTACCAGACAGTGCTATTGAAGTTACACCTAGAAATAAATGTCAAAAAAACTAATTAATAAAGAAAAGTAAAAGCATCATTTCACACTGAGTAACAAAATTAAGTTGTTCTGGCTTGAAGGAACTGTGCTGCCTCAGGAATGTAAAACTCACATTGACATGAGTAACCTGTATTGTTTATCAGCTATAACAGATTTCTGTAAACCTCACCTAAATGTAAATGAGTTAGATTCTTTTTCTTTCTTTATAAAACATACTGAACTGTTGGGGAGTCACAACCAAGACTCCTTTTGAGGAATGGTCTATCAGAGGCATTTACTCATATTCTCATTAAGCTTAAGGCTGATTTTAAGAGTATGTGATTAATTTTAGAAGGGCCATACTTTATCTCTTGACACAAATAAACTTTAAGCTTGGGTCTTCCTGCTCAGCCTGCACAGTTGCTCTCTCCACCTGCTCATCTGTTGCAGACATTTTCATTTGCAGATGAATTGCAAGTGTGCTTTGGTCCCTCCTTTTACAGAGTCCAAATGACTTAGATATTCAGAGGTGATCAGGCTAGGGGGTCACATATGAGTGACAGCTGCACATCTGGCAGCAAAGCACATTTTTGACATCAGTCCAATAGGGGATCTGCCTGAAAGCTCAGCTATTTGGAGGTACTGAAAGAGAAGGTGAACTGTTGCCTTCCTGCTTTTGTGGGAGCTCTGGGTGAAGGCTGGGCTGAGCAGCTCCGTGCCTGCAGCAGGTGCATTGCAGTAGAGCTGGCAGAGAGGAGCGCAGGGTTTGGGCACTCACTGCAAGAGCCACACGGGTCCCCAGCCTGTATCACAGGCCTGAGGAGCATTGAGCCTCTACTGCCTCACAGAGCACCAGGCCTGTGGTGTTTGGAGCTTCACACTGGAAAGTTGAAATCTTTGCTGGAGGCTTTGTGCTGGCTAAAACACATTGGATGAATGAATAAACCTGTTTTCCACAACTGTGTTCTAGTATTACCTATGCTTTAATGCATTTTTGGTGGTCTTAAATGCAACTGTGTTTCAGATCGTGGCAAAAACCTAAATTTGTGGGAGTAGGACTATAATTTTTCCCCATTTTTTTTCAGTGGTGCACTGTACTCTTCCATACTGGTTAGTCTGTGTGTGAGGAATAATGTTGTGTGTATCATACAGGTTAGTAAAAGCTTCAGCACTCTAGGAACTCTAAGAGGTAGTCTAGGGATGTGTTCTGAAAAATCCCATTCCTTCCCTCACTAAGAGCACAGTCTGTTTCATCGTTTTCTTCTAATTTTTCTTTGCAAGGTAGGAACCATGTTAGATACTGATCTGTAACGCTGGTGGCTGCTCTAGCACTGTGTGTGTGCCTTTGGAGTGTGTTTTCATGTACCTGCCTTCTGGAGTGTTTGGCACTACGCTTTCTGCCATATTTTCAAGGCAATGTTGGGTTCTCAGGGGATCTGTTGTCCTTCTAGAGGTTGTTTTCCTTGTAATTCATCTTCTTTATTGCTTGTGTACAACACCTAAAATATTTCTCCTCCTGTAAAATGTGCTGCTATTTCTACTGCAGGGAAAAGAGCAACACAAAATCGTGTTCTACACCAGAACTGAGTGATGCTGTCCCAGTGATGCTGTCCCAGTGATGCTGTCCCAGTGATGCTGTCCCAGTGATGCTTGCAGCGGACACTCTGGGCAGCATTTCTTGCTTTTCCAGGCCTTCTGTGTCCAGAGAAGAGCAGCTCACGAGGCGATGCCCGTGCTTAGCCAAGAATAATCCAAATGATTCTTGCAGGTGATCCGAAGAAGTAGCGATGAGGAGAAGTTGCTGTGCTTGGTCCGTCAGCGCGCGGGGCACCACTGCCAGACGGCTGTGATCGTGATCCTGATCCTGGCCTGGGAGGGGATCCCGCACCTCCTGGCGGACACGCTCTACAAGGAGCTGACACAGAGCCTGCGCAAGTACGGCTGTCCCACCAGCCGGCGCTGCGCCCTCAATGAAGAGTGAGTCCCTGCCTGGGAGCCTGGAGGGTTCTTGGCCATTCAGGAGTTCAGCTCCTACATCTACAGCTCCAAAGCACCGCTGTCATTTGTGTCACACCTCCCTCCTGGCTTTTCCTGGAGGAGAGGCTCTCAGTGGGAGTTGGGTGTGCCATTTGTGAAGTAGACGTGAGGTTGAACACTCAAAACTAGGATCTTCCTCTCTGGGCCTCTGAGAGGAATTTAGTTTAATTGATTAGAGAATATATTGCAGCTGCAGTGCTGCCTATGTGCTGATTTCTGTGCAGCCCACATTTAACAGACTCTGAGAGCTGTTTGGGGACCCGAATCTAATGCTTGTGTTCTTACAGGGTCTACTCAGAAAGTCAAATCAATTTGGAGTTAATGGTTTTGCTGCACAAGAACTGTTGGATTTGGGGTAACCTTAAGTAGCAGGGCTGTTTTCTTGGTTGAAGATGTTACCCACCTGAAGAAGTCATAAGGAATGCATGGGTGTATTTATATAGCTGCAACTGAGTGTTTGTATTTCTGTCCCCAAAATGGGTGTTGGGGAAGTTGAGACTGTCTTTGTGGAGAAAAGTCAGCCCTCTACACCTGAGTATTTTTTTAATAGAAAATACGTGGTTAAGCCATGAATTTCACAAATTCCTTTGTTACGCTCTGTATTAGAAAAGAAATGGCAAAATAGCACTGACCTAAAAAACTCCTAGACCCAAGAGCTGTGTTGCCAGCTGACCTGATGTGTCTTTATTATGTCCTTTTGTAGTCGTACTTGTGCATGTCAAGGACTTGACCCAGAAACTTGTGGAGCATCATTCTCATTTGGCTGTTCATGGAGTATGTATTTCAATGGCTGTAAGTTTGCCAGGAGCAAAAACCCCAGGAAATTTAGGCTTCTCACTGATGACCCTAAACAAGTAAGATTTATTTATCTTTTTTTCTCAAAATGCCTTTTCTGATGATTTTCAGAACTAGACATTCTCCACCCTTTCTCTCTCCCACATGTATGTGTAACTTACCACAGACTCACACCCAACAAGATTTTTGTAACTGTAGCATTTAGAATAAATGATACTGAGATTTCATTCAGTGGAATAATTACTATGCATTTGCATAACATAGAATTATTCTTAATGTTCTTCTGCATGCATATTTAGCTCACTGTGTAACTCTGTGAAATTTTAATTCTTTGTAAGTAAATGCCTTTTTCTAAGGGCCAAGTCTGTAGCTCAGGGTTTCAGACCTTTTGCCTTGGCACAGAAGATGTTGTACCTTGGGGTTGCACTGCTTTCCCACTGCAGTAGGAGCAGCTGACAGCCTGGGCTCCCCTGTCACCAAGAGAAAACTGGTTTTTCCTGTGGACAGTATGTTTTTCAAATAGTTTTGAAGGAATGAATATGCTAAAATGCAATGCAGTGAAATGATACCATAATTGCTGCTTATGAGTGTTAGTGGTGCCATAAAGGTGAGGCAGCACAGAGAACAACAATGGATTATGTGAAATAACAAACCTCTAAAAAAAAAATACCCAACCACATTAGTTACTTTACATTGAAAATACCTTCCTGAAGAAGGAACAAAGTGTTGTAAGCTGGTGACCAGTGCCTGGTGAACAGAGACTTCCCAGGGTGACTCCCAAGTGCCTTTTGTTCTGACTATTGGTGTCTGTAACCCCACTTTCCTGTGGAGCTCCAGGTAAAAGCACCACACCTTTCCCAGCTGCTGTGTTTGAGGCACTCTTGGGCACCAGGGTCTCTGTTGGGGTCATGCTGCCAGTAATCTGTGTACACACAGTGTGAAACATCCCTTCGTTCTTGATGGATGTCACTTGATTTGCTGCAGGTAAATATTCCTCCCAGCTCCTGATTTATGTCCTAAAAAAGCCTATGGAACATTTCTCATGCACATGAGTGCAAGCCCTCAGTCTCCTGTGGGCTGTGGGGAGTCCATCACACTGTGGGTATCCACAAACCTCGGTAGGGCCCGAGGTGGAGCTTCAGCTCAGCACAGCAGAGCAAACACTGCCCTTCTGCCCTCCTCACTGAACACCTGCCTGAGGCACTACAGGCCAAACCCAGCTCTGCTTGTCTCAAGAGGGAATTGGTTTGATAAACTTGTAGTTTCTAGGAAAATGTATTTATGGGGCATTCTTTCATTTTAGGAATCCCGTTCCTTAGCTATCCTTTGCCACTCCTGTGTGTTTAGGTTCTCCCCCTGTATAATGTCATGCATGGAGCATTCTGTGCATGCATTTTCTCTGTAGGTTTCTGATGCTGAGTGAGATGAGGTTAAGGGGGTAATATACTGAGGAAAGAATTGCTCCTAGGATGGATAATTAAGGATACAGTACCTTTAATGTGGTTTAGAAAACCTTTTGTGGTAGCCATTTATATCTGATAAAACTGGGTTTAGTATGAGTTAAAAATACAATATGGTCTTGCAATGTAACATCCCATTGAAAAAAGTGAGCTCTCCTGGTGTTTATGCTGGTGTTTAGTGTGTGGTGATAATTGGGGTTTTTTTAAACAAAATGAAGCAAGCTGTTATTTTTTGCCACTATACACTGTGAGAAACTGAAGCTGCAGTTGTATCTCAAAGCCTGGTCCTTGGAGGAAAAGAAATTAGGGAGTCTGTCCCTGCCCTCTGCTTTCCCAATTGGCTGGTGATTTTCCTGGAAAAGCAAATTAGGGTGATTGTTTCTACAAATAAGGGCTTAAATATGACACTGCCATAGAGGCCCACTTAGCTAATTCTTGTATTTATATGGCTTAGCCTAAGGAAGGGAATATTATTTCTGAATCTAGTAGTTATTTCCATTAAGTCCTGATTTTTGTCTCTCCAGAAATAGTTAACAAATGTTCCTGTTAGAAGTTCTGCTACAAGATGAGAATAATAGCTGAGAGAAGACCTAAAAGCTGAAGTTAAATGCTATTAGGAGTTTCTCACATGGTGTGTCAGCATAGGCTAAGGCCCCATAAGCAAAACACTAACAGAACACCTGGGCTTCTGTCCCCACTCAGCTTGGGGTATGATTTTTCTCCTCTGGATGCTACTTCTGTCTTTCTATTTACAACATACCTCACTCCTTGACTGCCTATGGAAAACAGTGCAGAAATCAGTTCCTGTGTGCTGGGTTCCTGACCTAGCAGGTACCCTCTGTTGTTTGGCTGATTCCTGTTTATCAGCTTTGGTGGCTTAGTCATGCAAAAGTAGACGTTTATGGTCAGTGGGGCAGCAGAACAGAAGTCAGTTTAATAAAATAGGAGGTAGAAGCTGAGATTCTTTTAAAGCAAACTGCAGCACCAAATGTTGCCTTTCCCTGCAGGAGGAACTTCTTGAAAATAATTTGCAAACGTTAGCGACTGATGTGGCTCCAGTTTATAAGAAACTCGCTCCAGAAGCTTTCCAGAACCAGGTGGGTGTGAGACATCCAGCTCTGAGCAGTGGTGCAGTTCCAGTCCACGAAGCAGCCCCAGAGCTGCAGCCTCATGGTAGCTGTGAATCCCAGTGCATTTGGCACCTTTCCTTACACTGCACCTCTTTACTTCAGCTGGTGCTTAAGTAGCACTGTATTTTTAATGTGAAAAATGCTTAGAGATAATACTGTTAATAAAATAAAATGGCTTTACTACCCAAGACATTTTGATTGTGGCTGACTTGATTATCTCATTGCCATCCAGCCACGAATGTTACATGTTTCATGGGAAAACAACAGTCACTGAATCTGCCTGGCTGCCTTGATTCTGTCACAGAGCTGCTGGTGGCTCGTGGGGTTGCAAAGCCGCACTTTCAGTGCCGAGTGTCTGTAGTTTGTTTTCCTTTCAGGTGGAAAACGAGCACATGGGCCCCGACTGCCGGCTGGGCTCCAAGGACGGTCGGCCCTTCTCGGGTGTCACGGCGTGCATCGATTTCTGTGCCCACGCCCACAAGGACACACACAACATGCACAACGGGAGCACTGTGGTACGTACACGGCACCTTCTCACTGCTGCTCTTCACTGGCGTTACCGTGAGCTCCACCGTGATGCTCGTGAGTTCATTTGCATCAAGGGTTTGAAGTTGTTTCAAAATGACCTGCATGTTGCCATTTAATGATGCCCATGTGTTGTTATTTTATATATGCATATGGTATTTGCATCTATTTGTTACTGTCTACAGAGGACATGAGTTCATCTTATTGCAGAACAGATCAGAAAGGGGATGGGATTGATCCTTCCTACAGAATACCTCCAATTCTGTAAAGACACCTGATCCTTTGGAGAGGCCTGGCCAGAGGGCAGAGAAGTTATTCCTGGGAGAGGGCTGATGTTCAGGGCACATAACTGTCTAACCAACCAGCCCTCTGTAGAGGAAGAGCTAAAACAAACTAATTCATTACTAACTTACCTCCCCGAGCTCATCAAATTCACTCCTTCTTGCACTGGGCACTTAGCAGGCTTCATGTTAATGTAGTTACAGGTCAGGAAGTAGACAGTGTGGATCATGGTGGAACCACACTACAGTCTTCAAATCTCAGTGTGAAAGAAAAACCCACACACTGGTGTGGCTGTTGTATGAAATGCCTTGATAGATTGCCAGTGAGAAAATTGGTTGGGAATTACTCAGTAAAGTGATCTTCTAGAAATTTAGACCATAGTGTTGAAGAAAGACAAGGTCAAAGCAGAAAAGATAAAACTGGCAGTGTTGTTTGAGCAGTAGGAGCATCACAGTGCTCTGAATAGTGAGGGTGACTTCCTGTACAGCAGTGCAGGTAACAAGAGTAACCTTTCTATCAAAGGATGTTTATCTGGAAAAAAATCTATTTAATATCATTGTTTACTCTAGAATTTTTTTTAAATGCAAATTGAATTATTGTGTTGCTGCAATTCAATAAAATGTTGCATTTACACCTGTAGTTAACATTGAGCATTTGTATGTGACAGCAATGAAATGATTGGTACAGTTGTTTAATGTTAATTTTGTCTTGTAAGGTGAGCAAATGTCCATTCCTTTAAAGTATGGAAGCAACTCTGGGAATCCACCAGGAATGCCAGTCCTCAATAGACTATTATTTTGCATTGCAGAATTGCTTCTGAAGCATAGGAATTTGATGCCCTTAAAGATTCTAAACTTGCAAATGAGATCTCCTTGTCAGACAAATGGCACGATAGGCTTTTTGATGAAATTTAATTTAGATGTTCTCAAAAGAAGAGTTTAAGAGCTCCATTACCTCGTAAATTAAAAACTAAATGGCAGCTGAGTCTGCTACTCATTTTTGCCATACTGGATCCCAAAAAAATAATAAGTTATGGCCAGAAGCACCTGGAGGGACAATTAAACCTTTTTTGAGGAATGTATTGGGAAATAGTTCTACAATTGCAGTTATCTGTAATCATCTGATCATTTACCTGATCTCATTTCAGCTTCACATTATTCTTGCTGGAGTTGATGCTTTATGGATTGTATGTGGTGTGTTTGCAAGTAGTTCCAAGTCTCAGAAGCATGGAACATTACAACTTGTCCATTGTATGGACCAGAACTTACCTCTATCACTTTCTACCAAGTTCTGCCAAATTTTGTCCGTTTTGCAGAACATGACCAAATGATTAGAGCTGCTGAAAACTCTGCCTTGTAATCTGGTTTTCATGGGTAGCCCACTCACAAATAAATACTGCATACCTGTGTTCTCTTTCTTTAGACAGGATTTCTCTTTATTTCACTATACTTGCAGCAGGGGGCTATTTGTAAATAGAAAACAGCTTTAAGTGTCAACACTCGACTTTACCTACTTGAATTGGGACATTATGAAGGTGAATTTGGGTTGGGAGTTGTGGCTGTGGTCACAGGACACGCAGTGTTTGCTGTTCCCTGTCTGTGCAAAGTTACAGTTGTATGAATTGGAGGCCTAAAGCAAAAAATGTTAGTTTTTGCAAACAGGGTGGCAGGACATGCTGGGCTTGCTTCAGTCCAGATTTTCATGACAATCAAAATTAGGGTTGTTAATTTTGGCTTATAACCAGGTCTGGTAACACCATAGGAAATCTAGTGGTAAGGACACAAAAAGAAATTAGTACATGTGATACCAGCACCTCCTGCATTCCTGTCTAGTTCCAGAACTACTTAGCTTAAAATACATGATGATTTCTTATAAATCACTGATGATAATGATGGAGGGGTTATTTACATAACTATTGAGGTATTTTGTCTGTAAAATGTACTGAGTGCAAGTACAATTGTGAGGTGACAGCTCTCACAGAGATTGCTTTCTCACAGTGTGGTAATGAACAGAATGAGAACAATTTGCACTGCACTAAAACCTCCAGCATCCATGACTTTGCTATTTTTCACTTGTTTTTTTTAAACTGCTTGTCACGCCTCACATTTTAAGTCTGTACAGGGTGTACTTGTCATCCTGGCCCTTGTTAGTGTTGTTAAGATTTCTTCCCTTTCAACTTAGGCAAACACAAAATACTTATTTATAAAATCTAAAGTTCTTCAAGGCTAAAGAGGTTACAGTAAATACCTTGTAAGTTGATAATTGCAAATGCTGCTGGCTCTGTCAGTGTGACACTAACATCGGTGGTAAATCACTTTTACCACAAGTATGACAGGAATTCTGAATGGAGCACCAAATGTAAAGGAAAACCAGGGTCCATTCAAATTATTTAAACCAGGCAAAGACATAAGTTCAACAAAGGACTTAAATGAGGTTAATAATAAGGGATAAGTTTACTGTACCCATAAAAATATATTTTAAAACATTCTTGCATTCTTCTCAGTATGTGTGTTTGATCAGCTGCACTATTTGTATGTGACTCTGAAAATAAATCATCCTGTAAAGTTGCTGTTAGCAGTGGGAGTGTCTTGGAAATGCCCTCTGGAGATACAAGAGAGAGAATAGTACATCTTAACTTAGACAAATTGGGGATTACCACTCCATGGTAATTACCACTGGATATCTGGGTTGCTGAATGTTGTTCCTGGCTAGCAGAGTCAGGCTCTGAATTTATACTGCTTCTGGTAGAAAGCTAAAAACAAACACTCCCTGCTTGCTCTGTAGTAGAATGACACTTCTACAGAGATGTAAACTAATGTGTTTGTCTGAAAGTAGCAAAACTCATTTCTGCCTACAAATTGAGTTTTTAAAGAACCTTTAAGGCAATAAATATGCCATTCACTTTTACTTAGACTCTTTTGTCATCTCTTAACATTCTGCTACTGATGTATGTTACAGCTACACTGTTAGGGTGTGTGTTCCTTATGGATATGGAGCTAAATGAGCAACACAGATAAAAGCTTTTTATAGTTATTGATGGAGTGTGTGAAATCGAAGTACTTTTGTTTCTTTATCAGATTAGCTGTGAAGGGTCACCTCCTTCATACGTGTGGGAATCCATTTAAGGCACTGGCAGTGCTCTTTTTGGGGTTTAAAAGGGACAAAAAGGCTGTTGCTGGTTCTGCAGCTCATATGTGGCTGTTGCTCATCCAAAGGGGCCCGGGGCCCTTGTTGCTGGGGCTGAGGAAGGAGAGAGACCAGCTGCAGTTTTTTGTAATCCCACACAGTCTGCAGCACACTGGGAAGAAGGGGAGGAAGATAAATCTATGCTTTGAGGGCAGCTACAATATGTAATTCATAACTGGCAGTAGAACCAAGCAGTGACAATCACCAGTCTATCAACAAACTCTTCCTGCTTCAGAAAAAGCCACCAAACCCTCTGTTTTTGCCTTACCTTTCTGTATTTCTGCAGGCACAGCCCATCACAGTGTTGGCACAGGGCTCCAGGCCTTTGCAGTAGCTGACAGGATGTCTGTGCATGGTTACACCCTGCTCATTCAGGAGCTGCAGCAGAACCAAGTGCTTAAACTGGTGCTTCAGCTTCTACCAGGCAGGAGGAAAGATGAACCCCATGGCCTGTAAAGGAAGGATTTCTGTTAGGTTTTTATATTGTGCCAATGGAGAAACACGAGTTGTTCACTGCTAACCTGAGTTCCCAGAGTGCAGATCCCGTGCCATACCCATGTCACCTGTCTTAACAGCACAGCCTGGGGGCATGAAGTGGGCAAAAGGAAAATATGTTTGGAGCTCTCTTTGGTTTTGTTCAGGGTAGATCAGACCAACAAAACCACGTGGTTTGTCTTGGCTGCAAAGGAAAAGCAGAGATGTTTCTTGTGTAGCGGTGGGCAAGGCTGCAGCAGCACCTGAGTCCCCAGTGGCACCACTCTGTCTCCAGCTGCACAGGGAGGCATGTGTAGGAAACATGATTCCACCTCTCAGGTTTAGAAAGGCTGCTTGACTGCTCTGCTGAAACTTGAATGTAAAACATTTGTTATTACAACACAGTGGAAAAGGCTCCATCATTTCTGCATGTGAGGTTCAAGAGGACACAGGCAGATCAAAGAGACCCAGAATAACACTGAAGCTGTGTGGCTACAGATGGATGTCTGGAGGGAATTGCATTGAGTTCCTGGTGCATTTGAAGTTTTAAAGAAGGGAATAATAATAAAGTTTCATAAACATGTAACTTTTACCATGATGTCACTAAATGGTAATGGGTTTGATCACCAAGCACATTGGAAACCTAAACAAACCATTTGGCCAACATTTCTTTGGCCTTTGAGCATCCTGGATGATTTAGCTGCCAGTTGTGGAAAAAGCACAGTAGCAGGATATGCAGCCTCATGCTCTAAATGGCCTTTAACAGACTTGATGGTTTTATCATGTTTGCATTTAATTTTGGTCAGTTTGCAGCAGTGTCAGTACCAATGGAAAATATTGCTTTTTCACTTCTCAGCAATAGCTTCTATTTAATGGAATATTTTGCACAGATTTGAATATTGAAGTATTTTTTTTAAGCAGGTATTTCTCATTTGGTGAATTACCACCTTTAGCTGTAAGTTTTTAGGTTATCTATACAGCCTTAATTTATGGCTGGTTTTCCCATATCATTATTTTCAGTTATCTGTTTGCCACAGTGCCCTCACTTTTATGTTAAAATATATTAAGGGGGCAGTGACTGTGGAAGTATACATGTATTAAAACTGGTGTTGTTGTATTTAGGCTGTAGATGTACTGGTCTTCAGATCTGGATACAATTTTGGCTACACATTAATTTCCTAATATGTATTCAAACTCAGTATTTAACATACAGGGTGTGCTGGAGTTGGCATTACTTCCACCATAGTTCTGGCAATATACTACAGCCCTCATCTTGTTTAGTTCCTCAAAACCAGGTCATCTTTCTTGTTCTAGAGGGTGTTGGCTTTTGCATGGAAATGTATAAATGTAAATTGGATGAGGTTCTCAGTTTTCAAAATAATAAATATTGTGGATTGAATCCTCAGGACTTCTTTCAGATGAGGCTAGACATGGTATTCTAAAAGATCACTGCCCAGTTTCTGATGAAAATGAGTGGGAGCCAGGCCCCTCCATGCTGGCTTTATTCCTGCTTTTGTTTATAATTTAGAAGGGGAGAATGCACCAGGCTGAGAACATCACTCATATATAATTGTGCTCTCTATATGTCTGACCTTCTCTCACCCTTCCTCAATAATTTGGCATTTGCTGGCCATTTTCAACCGGATGTCACAGAACTTGGCAGAAACTGAATTGTCTTTGGAGGTTTTTTAACCTCTTGTTGTGGGTTGTGAAATGTCCCTGTTGAGTGAGGGGAGCCTGGGTCCAGGAGAAGGTGGCCCCAAGCCTGAGGCAGGCCCTGCTTCCCCTGGCCAGCAGGGGTGGGAGCAGGGGTCCCTGCTGGGCTGGGGGGTGGGAGCGCGGGCTGGAGAAGCTCACAGGAAGCACGGTGCCAGTCGCTGCTCACGGAACATCTTGTTGTTTTTCCTAAATGTGCCTCGCAGTGCAGAGGCTGCCCAGAGGAGGTGAGTACGCATGGAGCCGGCACCTCAGTGAGCGCCACAAAGCTGCTGCTAACTGCCCTGAAGCCCCCTCTCCATCCCTTCCAACTACCTCCTGAAAAGCTCTTCCTTGTCTCTGCCCCTCGGATTTCCTCCTTTTGCTGCTCTGCAACTGCCAAGCTTTGCATAGAGCTATTGATAAAGCCTAAGCCACCACTTTTTTGGTTCAGGATTTTTTAGTTTGTGGCTCTGTAATTTTTACTTTTCTAGAAATAATTGTGTGACACTTTTATGCAAAAGCTGTGCTATAAATGAAAAATGTTTGGGTTTTTTTCACCCCGTAAATAATAGCATTCTTCTCCCCTGGAATGTTAAGCATGGTGACAAGATTCTGGGAAATTGGACGGGCTGTTTATGATAGGTGTCAGATTCAGCCTACAGAATGATGGAATGATACGCTTCCATTTAGGGAGTATCATCTCATCCTTGGATGGTGCTCCTATTCCTTTATGTGTGTAGTTAGTAACTCCTGTGGAACAGCAGCTTCCCTGAGCCATGCTATCAATGCCTGGCTTTCTAACCATGTAGCAGCCCCTTGGGAATGGAAGTGACAGAACTGCAGAAGGGTGGATGTCTGTACAAGTGCTCAGGCACAAGGAGCTGTTGCTGTCCCTTGGGAATGACACCAAGGATCACAGCAAAGAAAAAAGCCCTGCTTTCAGGGGGAAGTTAGGGTTAGTAACAGCTGGAACTCAAGGAGTGCTGGAAATGTTCAGCATTTATAATGACAATAGGAAAACAATTGCAGTAGGTTGGGATATATATATATTCACATTTCTGATGTGCTCTCATCAAACCCGATATAACCAGCACTCTCCTCTGGGCTCCAGGATCTCACAACACAGAATAAGAGGAAGTAGGGCACTGGCCTAAGAGAACATTTCCTGGGTCCTGTGAGTTAATTATAGCGGGCTGTTAATTTAAGAAAGTATTGAGAGAGGGAGAGCGAGCTGAGATTTGCAAAACATATAAACATATAAAACATATAGAGCAGTGTGAATAACTGTTTGTGCTGGTTTGGGTTTTTTTTTCATTTACCAACCAAAACAAAAACCAAAACCAATTCTAAATCATAGACTAAATTGCAGATCATAAACGCTTCTTGTTTAATGCAAAAAATAATTTCCATCTTTTGTAATATTTAAAAATTAATCTGAACATCAAATACGTATTTATGTATTAAAATAATAATCTGAACGCTTAGGAACTTTGCAGTATATTTACCAAGGCTGGCATATATTTGTGGATACTCTAAGCTGAGACAAAATTTCACTTTGCCATCCAAGGCGTGTGCCTTGATCTTAAAGTACTGATAGTTTTTCTGTGTCATGGTAGATCAAACACATGTGATTGTGTGTGAGATGTTTGCATTAGAAAGCCCCACAGTGTTGAGGCCACAGAATCCGAGTGAGCAGTGAAGCCTGGGATGACTGCCTGAGCCTTTATGTAACTGGTGTTTGGTGTGTGTGGTTTATTTGTAACTGGCTCTGCTCCTGCCAGGTCTGTACCTTAACGAAGGAAGATAACCGGAGAGTGGGGGTCATTCCAAGCGATGAACAGCTCCATGTGTTGCCTCTTTACAAAATCTCACAAACAGATGAGTTTGGCACTGAAGAGGGCCTGGAAGCCAAGATAAAAGCCGGAGCCATACAGGTGCTCACAGCGTTCCCCAGAGAAGTGCGAATGTTGGCTGAGCCTCTCAGAGCTACCAAGAAAAAGAAACCAGACACCAGGAGGACCCCGAGTGAAAAGCAGCCATTAATAGATAAAAAATATTCAACGCCAGTAAAACTGAAAACTGAAGCCCCAGAAAATCTTGGCAACACTTTGAATTGTTTAGGTGAGTGATACTTAGGAAATTCTGCCAGTGTGTTCTGATTCTCTGTTCTCTTACATATCTAATGGGAGAGAAAAACTCCTTTAAAATAAACCATTTGTATATTCTGTGTTTTTGGGGTTAATGAACAAGTCACTGTAGCCAGTGTTGTCTCATGGGGCAGAAGAAACCCCAGGTGATCACCCAAAAATAGTTTGTTGTTGGTCTGTGAACACCTATGTTCGCCTGAGTTCCCTTGTTCTAACAAATAATGGCAGTTTGACAGTCTTTAAAGAACATTGTTGGAATGTTTCCCTAAATAATTTCTGTCACTTTAAAGTACAAGAACTGTGTTCTCCACTTCCTATGGCAGATAACGGCTTTCTCAGAATCTGAGCTGTGATACTTCCCTATCAATGGCAAGAACCCTGCTGCACAGCAAGAGATGTGTCAAATCCCCCAGGGTTTATCAAGTGACTGCTCCTGTTGGCAAGGAGCAGGTGCCAGCGAGGCCGTGTGGGCAGCGCAGAGCTGTGCCTGGGCTGAGCTCTGTTACCTGGTGTCACTTGTAGGACTGTGGGATGGGACTGGGCAGTAATGAGAAGCAGAAAAGAAGGAAGAGGTGGAAGAAGCCGTGGTCTTAAATTCTCTGATTAGCAGGTGAAAAACAAATAAAATGAAACCCTGTCTGTTAGGAAGAAGAGAAGAAAATTAGCCCATCTGCTGTAATTTTGATTTTTTTTTTTTTATCCAGACCTATGTAGCAGATTTAAGGGGAGGAGTGACAGGTAAATGTGTTTGAAAAATATCTGCTTTTTGGGGGGATAACATTTAAAAAACAAATAAAAATTCATTTGCTACTCTTCTGTAATTGAGTACCAAGGGTTGTTAAAACTTATTTTCACAGAACACGTTTCTCTCTCCTGAGTGATGGAATGCAATTCTCAAATGCTATGTTTAAAATTTTTAGGGCAAAGGCCTTGCTCTGTGGTGGGGGCTGTTAAAGTCATTCAACACTTTGTGTTTTATTTCATAAAACAGGTTTTTAAAGAGTTGATGTGGCCTCCTCACGTCCCCATACAGCTTTCAGTTTTTGCATACTGTTATATGTCATCTCACTTTGACTTTTTTGCATTCCTATTGGAGGAACGTTCTTAATTCATCGCTAGTTTATAAATTACTAGGAGATAGAGAGTAGAAGAAAGAATAATGCTTTTACACTGTGTAAAACAATTAACCATTCTGTGTATTTATGGGATAAACAAGAAACATTGACAGTCTTCTATGAGAGTAAGCAAGAGCTCTCTGTGGGGTGCCAGTCTGCTGGCAAAACACATGGCAAGGCATTGCAAAGCATGATGCAAAGCCCAGCAAAGTCAGTGGAATTCTTTCCCGTTACTCCCATGGACTCTGGGCTGAACCCAGATGAGAATCAGAGCCCATGATGAGAATCAGTCATGCGAGGAGCTTGTTCCCAGTCAAGCCATGGCTGGAAATGGCTTAAGGAACAGACACTGAACAAGGATGTATGCACAGAGATCTGAAATAGTGAGGCAATTAGATGAAAAGATGCAAGACAGCCAAATCACGTGACTCAAAATCCATTTTATAAGGATGGATTTACCTGGAGCATGTTGCCAGAGACTTTTTTTTTAAAAAAAAAGGCAATTTCTGAGTCAGTATTGGAATGCATGAATCATTGTAATTCAGTAACTGTTTTTGCTGTGATGGACAAGATCCATAAACATGCTTTTTCCTTGGATCATTATATGGGGTTAAGGCAGGTCAGAATTTTGACTGATTCATAGGCTGAATTTCATCAATTATGTAAAAACTGAAGGCCAGCAGTCAGCTGCTGGGAAGCATATCTGTAGGACTGGGCTGCGTGAATTTGGATTCAGTGGTTATTTCATTTTATCTGTTTATTTTCTTTATCCCCCTGTGAAGTACCTTTCTGTTGTATATACCAGCAGCCTGATTGGAAAAGGTTAAGGCATTAATTGAGCAAGGTTATTTTAGATATATATATATATATATATGTATGCATATATATTCATGCTAAATAAATATACATTGTATGAATATATATGTATGAATATATATATATGTATATATATTCATTCAAACTAAAAGTAATAATTTTGAAAAATCTGTAGTCAGTGTACATTTTTCATGTTGGAAAGCAAGTATGAAAATCTAAGAGAGGTATTTTATTGATTGAGAAGTACTTACACTTTGGTGTGCATTTCTTCTAGGGAACAAAACAGATGCTTTAAAACCTGGAATAAAAATGGAGACTTCCAACCACCTTTATGCCATGAAACATACTTCAAACACTACTAAAAATTGCTCTTTATTAAAACAGTACACGGCTTCCTCCCCCTTTAAAGTGGATAGTTTACATCCTTATCCATCTCTCGCACACAAGTCTGGCCTAACTGCAGTGACTAATATTCAACAAGATTTTTCAGTTCCCTACGGGTATTTTGAATGCAGTACCAAGCAACCTCACGTGGCACCTTACGTTAACTGCAAGAGCTTTGATGTGTCAGTCAAAGATTATACTGGAATTCTGCTGAACGATAAGGTGAATGGAGTGCCACCGCTTCTTCCCGAGGTCACTGCTCCAGGCCCCCCAGCCCACAGAGAGCCCCTGCCCACTATACTTGAACATCATCAGCCAGACAAACAGAATTGTCAGCTTCAGCTGGACACTTCTCCTTCCTCAGAGATGATCAGCTCTTGTGACTCATCAGTACCGCTAAGCTCTTCGGCAAAGGACGCCGTGGGAACCGAAGCTGGCTGTTCCCATGGATGCCCGGGGGAAAAGGGCAGCTCCCACCCAGGGCAGATCTGTGACTTTGACTGCGTTGACGAAAAGCAAAACAGTGCACTGGGACAACCAGCTGATTCTGAAGAAAAGGCTGAGGAATTGTGGTCAGACAGCGAGCACAATTTTTTGGATGATGATATTGGTGGGGTTGCTGTGGCACCTTCTCATGGTTCTATCTTAATTGAATGTGCAAGACGTGAACTCCACGCTACCACACCAATTAAAAAACCCAACCGCAATCATCCCACAAGAATTTCTCTAGTTTTTTACCAACACAAAAATTTAAATGAGCCAAAACATGGTTTAGCCATGTGGGAAGCAAAGATGGCCGAGAGGGCGAGAGAAAAAGAAAAAGAAGCGGAACGATTAGGAACGGAGAATCCTGAACAGAACTCTAGCAACAGGAAAGCAAAGCAACCAAGTGAAAACAGAGATATTTTTTATGAAGACAACGAGTTCAACCAAATTCCATCCCGCAGAGCATTGACAGTAACCAAGGATAACGTGATCACAGTATCTTCATACGCCCTGACACGAGTGGCAGGGCCCTACAACCATTGGGCGTAGGTGTCGGTGTGGTGTGCCCCTCCCGGTGCAGTTACACGGTGTTTCTTTAAGGTGCTGTTAAAGAACAAGTCTCCTGTCGTTTACTATTTGCTCATCTCAACCATTTTAAGGCTGAGGTAAAAACACAAAAAAAGGGGGGGGGGGATTTCTTCTTAAACTGTGACTTTAACATTTGGTGGTGCTCAAGCACATTTTAAGCAAAAAAAAAAGAAAAAAAGTTGTATAGTTTTAATACATTCTAAAAAAAGATTTTGTTTAGGTTATTAACCTTGATTGAATCATTCAGTTTATTACCTTTAGGAATTTATATTTTGGTGCTTTAAATCGTCTGTTTACTACAAAAATCATTTATAGGTATTTTAACAGGTTCACATTTTATGGTGTTAAATCAAACTATACAGTTATAGCTCTACACAGCTCTTGGTGCTTAACCACATCAAACAGTTAAAAATAAATAAGCTGAATTATTACTTCATGGTGCCATTGCTTTAACAACTTCCAACCATTGCTGTATAGTCCAAATTACAGACAAATCTTTTAGAAAACCAATTAATTTTGTTCTTTAGATTCGTCAGTAGAATGAGGTTATTGGTAATGATGGCTGGAAGTTGTTTCTAAGCTGTAAATATATATTTTAAAAGCACTTTCTATTTTTAAAATTAACTTGAAATAGTATAGTATAAGGATCATATTGTCTAAGGTTTGTGCATACTCTACAGAAGAAATGATTTTGTTCTTGCTGTGCAGAGTTCCATGGTGTTACAGCTGCAGGCTGTATGCTGATAGCATATGTGGTTGTGTTTAACTTGCCCTTTTTCACTGAAGATTTTATGTTGCATTTAAACAAACAGTAATGAATTATAGAGCCTTTTTTATTCTTTTTCAAGAGAGCGTACAAACATGAAATGAGGAGATGTCTGGTCAATACGTGTGTTGCTATTGGGAGTTAGGAATATTATCTGGTTTTTTAAAAGGCAGCATTTGTTATGGTTTCTTTGAGCAATAAGTGCATCAGTCTCATTTGTTTGCAGCATTCTAAGTTAACATGGCAACCAAATGTTCCTAATGCCTCAGGGGTAGGATTGTTTTGGGATAAAAAATACCCCCTAGAGTTGCCTTATTCTATTCTGATTTAAAAAAAAAAAATTGGGAAAAATACAAAGGAAGTATTGGAAAACTATCAAATTTCTGATATTTAGCAGCAAAGTTTTTGTTGAGAAAAACCTATCTGTAATATTCACCAACTTTCTGAGTTCAATTATTTTGCAAAAATGTTTTGTAAATTTTTGAAGCAATTTATACATTTCATGTGGAAAGGGTTGTATCCTTCCTTGAAATTTATCTTCTTCATTTCTGTTTAGAAAGTGACATATCACGAACCAAGTATTTGCTAAACCAGAGGAAAAACAGACACTCCATTGCTTTTAAATACTGTAGCATCCCACCCTTCTTTCTGATTCTCCTCTCCTATGTATTTCTTGTTTAAACTTATTTATTTAAACAAATTACCAAATGACAACGTTAGCTAAGGACTGACCTCATCCTGCAACTTCTTCCATGCGAGCCGGCTGGAGCCAGGAGGAGCAGTGACACCAGGACTCGCTGGGGTCCGAGCGCTGCAGGATCAGGCCCACAGACAAAGCTGTCCCCTCCTTCTGCCTCGGCGCCCGCCCTGGCTGGGGATCCTGTAGGTAAAATGAAGTCACTTTTCCAGTGTGGAAACATACTAATAATATACTTGATAATATTATACTGTAGTGGTGCTGTATAGAGGAATACAAACTATCTGGATCTGCTTTATTTAAAGACGAGGTGCTTTTTCCTTGAGAAGCTGAAGTGCAAGAACTCTTATTTACAGTTTTGGTACGAAAAGTACATCAGTGGTGTTTGGAACACATAGTGCCAGTCAGGACCTTGGTGCTACAAATCCTTTGGTGCGGCTGTAGATCCATGAGACTGTTTTCCTGTAGCCATGTGCAGCGTTTGCAGGAGCCAGGTCTGAAGTAGCAATCGCTATGTAATGATCCTGGGTTCAGCTCAACTGATTCCTGTTCAAATTAACCAAGCTATTAATGGCAGAGGATGGAGGAATTGAACCAGTTCTTTGTATCTTACCTATTTTAAGTAAAACCTGTAAAAATTGGGTATGCTGCAAATTTTAGTTCAAAGCTTAATATTAGTTCGAATAGAGGATATGAAGGGATTGTAAATAATGATAAAACAGAACCAATATTATGCCATTGTTTTGTACCAGCAGTTTTATGCTTACTGACTGTGTAATATACAGTATACATCAAATCATTATGGTATTTTGTGTGCCTTAGATTTCCATTTTAAAACTTGTATATTTTTGGTGAGCTGAAGATCTGTAGGAATTGCAGCTGTCCATACAGTGAGTAGTACTGTACATTCCATAGCTGTTCCAGTCATGTATTTGTCCCACCACGTAACAATTCGTTTATTGGTTTCACTGATAAGCCCCGACACCTTCAGTTTCTGTAATGCTGTAATTCAGCACTCTCATGTGATAAATTTACTACACAAAATTGGTAAGCTACAGAGCCATCTCTTTACCTTTTTAAATGTTCATACCATTAAAGTGGATCATTTTTACTTGAATCTTCTCCTACAAATGCCCACATTTAACTTACTGGAAATTTCAGATAAAAACGTTCCATTGAAAAACCAGCAGCTTCCCTCTAAGAAGTAAGGCACTGAAAGGTGGATCTTAGAGGATCCCTTCAAACCTTTTTTTGAACTGGCAGTTCTAACAAAGAAATGTGTATCTTAACATAATACATACTATTAACTGATAGGTGCTAAACTCACAGTTACTACTTCATTAATATTACTTACATGAGAGAAATATATCATCTATACAGTAACATATCACCCACGGTGCTCTTTCCTTGGCTGTCTTTCACCTAAACTGCTTTTTAACACATCCTACCAGGCAGGTTGGCCACTTCCACTTCCTGCTGGACATGTAATGGGTTGTGATTTGAGAAGCTGATCCTTTCTATTGCTGTACTGCAGTATAGAAAATGCACCTATTTACTGGTTTTACAACCCTGTGCTATTTATCGCAACACTTCAGGATATTTTTCAGTCTTGTACACAAATTGCATTGCTTTCAGTAAGGTTATCATTTTATAACAGTGTTGATCTCTTAAAATCTTCAACTCTGTGCGTGTTCTTTTCTTTGCAGCCCACACAGCCACGTGTAATTTGCTCTTAGGTTTTAACCCAAGTCCTTTTTGGATAGCCAGTCCAGGAGCTGGATCAAAAATTAAGGCAGCTGGCTAGGTCAGACCTGCATGTTTTATTTGATTTCCATCAGCTGGCACAATGTTCTGGGTGAAAAACCAGCATGTGGATTCAGGTGTGGGCTGGAAGTGGGGTGTGCTTGTCTTTGGATCATTTTTTACAGTATTCCAGGAAAAACTGTCATGATCCAACATAGGACACCTCTGACTTCCCAGAAGAAATGTGTCTCATCCCTTTATCCACTGGGTCCAGTACCGCAACTCTGCTATGGAGGGGAGGAGCAGGGCTTGTTGCAGGACCAGTTGTGTTTGACTCCATGTGGGAGTCACTGAAGTTGTGTCCAATTAAACAGTGAATTTACTGATTTTTCACATGCTAGTGTATTGCAGGAAATAGAAATACTTCTGTAAATACTTTAGTCACAGGAACCAAGAAGCTTTGCAAGTCCTTAAAAATACTTGCAGCTTCCAACCTGTAACAGTTGTATTCTGATTTTTTAAGGACTTCCTAAGAACCATAACTGCTGGTGAAAGTCCTTGTGTTAGCTATGACAGTGCTTCTCTAGATGTAGCACAGGAAATAACTGTAGCATCTTGAGCAACATTTTATGTTAAGCATGGGTAAATGACAACTTGTCTAGTACTTAAGATTCTTCCTAGCATACAGCTGTATGGGGTTTTCTAAAGAACTTTTTAATTTCATTGCAGTATTAACTAAATATGGTGTTAGATTAAGGTTGGGTGCTGTTCACACTGCTGCAGCCCTGCTGACTGCAAAGTGTTCATTCATCAAGTTTTCCTGCAATTTCCATATTTAATTGGATGGGTATGGACAACATCTGTGTCAACTCAGAGGTCAATCCTGCTCTTTCACTTCCCATGCAACTTCTCTAATATTGCAATTAACTCTGTTTATCAAGTGGTCATCAGCTTTGTAATCCATTTTAAATATATGGTTGTTTCTTTTCCGCAGAAATCCTGTAATTTCTAGGCTATCAGAAGGAAATAGCTGTGCTTTCAGATACATGAAAAACTCAACTGCATGGCCACTTTCATGCTTTGTGTACGCTAACACCAGTTACATTCAGGCAGTGTGGGACAAACTCTTTCAGGCTTCTTGTGGTCACTGAAATTCAGATAAGGGTCTTTGTGATGTCTACTCCATAAAACTGTGTTTTATTTCTTGTGTGAAAGCTGTCTGCCAAGCTGTGACCTGTGATGATCTGCTCTTCAATAGCAATTAGAGAAGAGGAACAGTCCAATCACATTTGGGAATTCCTGCTTTATCAGGTGTTGATCTGACTTGCAGGAGGAAGTGTGGAGGGAATATCTTTCCACTGATTATTGTGACACCATGGTACTGCACTGCAATGTCTGTGTCACAGCACTGCTCTAACCAGTGAGATGTTTTGTTGTGGGTATTATGTACAAATTCACCTCTTTGCACAGTTCCTTCCACAGGCAGAAATCTCTCCTTTGGTCTCTGCCTGGTTTAAAAAAATACCAAAAGAAGGAGAGAGTTGGCCTCTGTTTTTGATAGGCATAGACAAACAAGGTAGCAAGCACTGCTGCCCTTTGCCACCATCAAGATGGAGAATACAGAAAGCTGATGGGATGTTGGTTGGACTTGATGGTCTTTAAGGTCCTTTCCAACCTTCATGATTCTCTGCACAGCGTAAATAAATCACAGGCAAAGCTGTGAAGGTACAATTGGTTTTTGAGTCAATCTTCTATGTACGTGTAGTTGCCATGGTACTTCTTTATACTAACACTTCTTTTGGTCCATGACTTTAAATTCAGTAGCTTATTTTATTTAGTCTGTGACACACTTACATTCTCCTTGAATCTAAAACAGTGACCAGGGTCAAAAATCTAGAGGATGTGGCTATTTAATTCTTAACAGTTCAGGAAGCGGTTTCAGTCTCTTCTGGGACTACCTGATGTTTAGTCAGTCTTCACAGATTGTCTACATGCTGCTTTAGGATGTTGCTACAAAATTATAATTACAGAAAGGAAAGAGTTTTACATTCAGGGTTTCCTGAAGGACCAAGGATTTCTAATAGTAGAACCTGATCAGGCACCAGGATACATATGGGTCACTTCCTCTAAGGAGTGGTTGAATATATGCTGTGTTTATTACTTCCCTGTAAAACTTCTTTGGTTCTCTTAGAGAAGAGGCAAAACTTTTTAATACTGTCACATACCTGACTAAATTATGAAGACTTAGTTCTATGTGGTGCTGTGTTGTCTCCCTGAAAAACACTTAATATGGCTAGTAGGTATCACTTTCTACTTTGTACAGGTGACAGTGGATACTCCAGCCACCTTTCTCACTCCATGTCCTTTCTGGATCATCAGCTGTGGTTAGCTATGGTCAGTTAGTGCTGGCTCACTTTGTCACCTGCTCTGGATGCTTTCAATGCTTGTAACTACTCCAAAAGTTTTTCCCTTGGCAGATCTGCTTCAGCACTCACCATTAGCAGCACGGCTGTCAGCCTGCCTGTGAGTCCCCCTGCACGCTGTCCTGTGTATGGAAATCAGCCATCTTCATCTCAGGAATGTCACATGAATCTGTTCTCCTTGGGACTCTCCCCCTAAAATCCATTTATTTCAGTCACCTGGAACAGGCTGCCAGGAGAGCTTGTGTATGTGCCCCATCCCTGGAAGTGTCCCAGGCCAGGTTGGACAGGGCTTCAAGTAACCTGGTGGAGTGGAATGGGGGGCAGGGGGTTGGGAAGAGGTGAGCTTTAAGGTCCCTTCTGACCCAAACCAGTCTGATTCCTTAATCTTATATTCTATAGGTGACAGTTCTAGGGCTTTTACTTCACATTTTCTCATACAGGGCCTAGAATATCACAGTTGGGATTTTTTTAAAGTCTAGTAGAGATGGACAATTCATAATCTGTCACAATCACTGTTTTTATGCTTTTTAAATCAAATAATCAGTTTTCCAGTTAATGTTCAGATTTTTTGATGTAGTTGTTACAATCTGTTCTTGTATCTGCAAGTAGCCAAACAAAAGAGATTGCAAGACTAGAAAACCATCATCCCCTGAGAAGGAAAAGTCATTCCTTCTCAGAGCACAGGATTTTTTCATGTTGGTAGCATCTCTGTGTTCTCTTGTCTTTCAAGTCACTTTTAACAGCTCTGCTCAATTCCTGACATGCGACAGCTGCTGCAGCCCCTGCATGATTGCAAGAGCAGGAGTGTTTCTTTACATCTTCTTTAAACCTTAGATCAGTCTTTGTGAGATATCCAAGTGTTTATGTAAGATAAATGCCTGAACTAACACAGGACTGCTTGGAAAAAAGATGTTCTTCCTTCTCTGGCAAAAAATGGAATGGAAAGAGCTTGAGAAGAAAACAATTAAGGTGGTTACTGCCTTTTATTGAAGGGTATTGAGGTGTCAGCATTGCTGTTTCTTTGTCTTTCTGAGAATAAGGACTTTAGGATTCTTTTTCCAATCCAGTTCCCCAGTTCACCATCCCAACAATTGCTCGTGGTGTTTAATCATGTACTGCTAAGCTTCAGTTTTAAAAGATACAAGATGCTTCTTGATGCTGTATCCTTAATTCTTCCAGACAGTGTCTTTTCCTTTCTTCTTCTACTGGGCCATTACATATGGCATTTTTCCACACACACTTTTATTCAAAGGCCAGAATCTTCCAACAGCATACTTGCAGTGAGTGCAAGACTGGGGTGCTAAATAAGGTGAAGGGGACTTGCTTTGGTGTGACTGATCAACGGTGCTTTTTTCAACACTTTGCACACCTTACAGACATTCCTCACAAAGTCACAGACTGCAGGTGTACACCTCAAAAACTACACATGTAGGGAGGACAGGTTTGGCATTTCAGCTACAAGTTTAAGAGTTACCAGTTACAGCAGATGAACTGTGTTCCCAAGATATGTTGTTGCAGTGGAGCAAAGGAACTGCTAGTTTTGATGTTCAGTAGTGCAGTTGTTGCCACAGAACGTTTTAATGCTGTCGTGGAAAGTTTTGTGACCTGGTCAATATTTTACATGTATATCTGTATTTTTGTTATATTGTAATGGAAAAGGGGTCTAGGGTTTGGGAGTTGTCTTAAAGTAAGAATCAGGAGTAACAATCAGGAGGCCCTGATTGTTACTTATACTACTGTCCTTTGTATTGCATTGGAAGGATAAAGGGGCCTTAAATGGATGTCACTTTAGCTTACATCCTCTGGAGTATCCCATCACATTGATCAGAGTATAAAAGGTCAGTAGTATAAATAAAAACAGTTACTAAATGATTGATTTGTACAATCATCTGAAATAAATTTCATTGTATCCTTACTGTGCATATACTGGCCAGTAACATCCAGATTGTTCTTAGTTTAGAAATACAGGTTGAAGAGAGACCTGCTTGGGTTTTACCAGGTTTTAAATAGTTGTTTATATTGGCTGTCCTTTGCCCAACAATGTGGTAAAAGATTTGTACCTGTAGGTAATGGCCAGCCCAGAAATTTCACCAAATTGTCAAAAATGCTATTTTTATGGTAATTTTTCTTAAAATACTTGCTACCCTTTATCGTAACTTGGATCCCTTTTACTTGATGATATAAACTGGGGTTGTGACAATCTACTGAACTTCCTTCTGTCCTGACTTCACACCCAGCAGAGTGTGCGGTGTTGTGTGCTGTTGTCACACTCTGCTGAGTTTGGGGACACAAAATTAAAGCCAACACTTTCTGCCTTCCCTGACTGTGGTGCTACTTGCCAGGGAAAACCCTGGCATTGCTCTGCATGCCCGAGTCCTGCAGAGCTCCCCTTGCTGCCCATGGAAGCTTTATGTATACAACAGCCCCTGCTACATTGCAGTTATGCAATGCAAACTTCTCGTTCAAAAAAAGTTTGAGGAAAAGGAAATATTCTTTCCTTCTTAAATTTTTACACTGCAGTGATACTGCAGAGCCTAATGAGAACAGATTTTGTAGCAGCTTTGAGAATGACTGTCTAATCCATGCAACTCAAAAGGCAGCAGCTGAACTTCATGAAGCTCTTGTCCTCTAAATGAAAATATAATTGTAGTCAAGAGGAAGAAATGGGATATGCCAGTACTGCTAAAAGAAAGCCAGTTCCAACCAATGCAAACATTCATACATTTCAGTCTTTACCGGTGAATTATTCTACAATTATTTTTCAGTTTGGAAGAGGCAGCTCTTCATAATGGGACAATATCACGCCAGGTCACAAGCACTGATTCAAAATTTATTGTCATTAAGAAAGAATATAAATATGTAAGGACATGCTGTACTGAAATGCTATGGCTAATGAATTCCTTCCTGCTTTGGGAAGATAAAACATTAACAATATGCCAAAGCAAAAGATAAAAAGAGTCATGGGGGTTTTTTTTTCCTTCTCTCTTTCTTTTCAATCTTTCCTTTCTTTCCTTGGGATGCATTTGATATTTATTTTTCAGCTTTAAATTTGAGGTTTTATTCCCAGTTACCAATGTACTGTATTGAAATCTGGAACATAAAAATAACAATTTCAAGCAAAAGATGATGTACAGGGAGAAAAAAATCAGAAAGAAAAAGCACTTCATTATGTCACAGTATTTACAGGAGAAAGTGTAAAAATTACTTATTTTCTAAAAAACAACATTTGGGGCCTGATTCTTTCCTAGTATAACTGAGCATAGCTCCCTGAGGCTGGTGGAGCTGGGCATGGTTATGCTAGCTGAGAAACTGAACCTTAAAATCTTCTTTGCAGACAAGGGAACCCTTACCAGCAGTACTTGAAGACTTGTGAGTTGTGACTGCATGTTACTTGAAAGATCTAATTAAGCTATGTTTTTTGGTGCAAGCAGTTGTTGTACATGATTTCATGTTTATGTAGCAAGATGCATTGAAATGTTGATACTAGTATTGAAACATACATGTAAAAATTGTCGTTGTGGAAATTGTCTGTTCTGTTCTATTTTTCTTGTGTGTCTCATCTGTTTAGAACGTAAACTTTCTTTTTTTTTTATTGTCCTAACTGAATAAGGCTAAATGAATACTGTAATTGAAAATATATTTTAAATCTTGTCATGAGTTTTTAAAAAGACTATTACAAATTGTATCATTCCTGATTACACAGAACTTTGTGGGTGGTTTTAAATAAATTTTATACTTCTATTTTGCACTTAGTCGTCTAATTTTTCTTTCCTGCTCTTAGCAATAATAACCACTGTCATGTGTAGAAGTGTATTTGTTAATTATTAATAGGAGCTACAGGGGCTTCACCCAAAAAGTCAGCAGGTTTCTGCACTAGAAGGGGACAGGCATAAATCCAGTGCCTGTTCTCAGTCTGCCTCTGCTTCAGGCTGGACTGACCTGTGCCCAGAGAAGCAGCCAGAAAATCTGAACTTCATTTTCTGGCTAAAAAGGACAAAACAGTTTGTGAACACGTCTGTACAGCATCTCTTTTTGCTACCTGTCTGGCAGAGCAAGCTAATGGGAATCATTTACTGTGGTATTTAATTACCAGCCACTGGAAATATTTCAGGTTTATTTGCTGCAAATCAGAGTGGGTATGGTTGGGGGTTTTTTGTCAAAACAGACCTCAGCACTAGCCTGCTTTACTGACAGTGTAGTGCACAACAATACTAAACAGAATCCCTGTTGTTTAGACCTGAAGAAAAGGAGGAATACAACTCTTGACTCTTTTCCTGCTTTACTACACGCAGCAGCAAAATAATAAGCAAAAATAATCTTCCAGGTAACCAGAATCTCCTAGGGAGCAGCAAAATGCTGGTACCCTCTGGGTGCACTAATGCCCTGGAAAGAAACTCCATTGTGTGATATGGTGCATCTAATTCCTGGGGGGTGGATGTGATCATCCAACAGGGAGACCTTGACCTTCCAATGTAAGCTGCTCTTTTACATAATCGCCACTGCTGGGGTTTTATGGCAACATCTCCCAGGCTGCCCCAGGCCCTCTCTGAACTGCACTATTAAGTCCTTGTTCAACAGAGCCACACGTTCCAGGTTTCAATGTCAGAGTCAGGAACCTCCAGCACAGGTGTCTTAAGAAAAGCACATGGATTTTGAAAGGCACTTCAAGCCTTGGACCAGACCCAAGAACATCACTGCTGAGGAAGAGCTAGCAATGAGAAACATTCCCCAGGGCCTTTTAAGGTACTGCCAGCCACCTGCCCATTGCCTCCCCCGGGGCATTCCCACCAGGCAGTGTGATCCCAGTCAGAGCTGCATTTCCTCATAGATCATGGAGTGTGTTACAGAGAGGTATGAAAATGTACCTTCATCTCCACCTTATGAAAACAAAACTAAACCAGATTTACCTGCCCTGGCATCCCAGTTGCCAGAAGTTAGTTTACCACCTAGAGATGGCTTCAGTGCTTTTTTTATATCCTGGATTTCTGATCTACATTATACAAGGTAATAGAATATTGGTGTAGTACAGTTGGTTGCTTTTACATTCTTACGCCTTAGATTGCAATTCCTACTAAAATGGTGTTAATTGTTAACAATTAAGCTGCAAAATAAGCTTTTTTGCTGGTGCTATAGTTAAAAGTTTTCTCTAGTACTGCTACACTGCTACGTATCATAGAATGCCAGGATTTGCTGTTCAACAGTGCTAATGTTGGTCACTGCTGTTGAGAGTTAATATTTAACACAGAGTATTAGTTTACATTCAAAAGGGTATTCATCAAAATATTGGGGTTTCTGTGTACTCTGTCTATCAGAACAAACAACATATTCAAATGTTATTTAAACACAAGCAAGGTATTGCTTCAATTAGTGTTTTGGTTCAGGACGCGGCCTAGATAGTCTAAAATAAAATACCAGCAATCCCCATCTGTGTTTTTAATCTTAGACAAACTGAGAAAGTATTTAAAATGTGGAAATTTAAACCTGGCTATTTTAATAACCATTGGCTGGAGCACAGTTCCCAAAATGGGTCTCCAATTCCATGTCCAGTCTGTTTACTTCTGTATACTCTTTTGTGAGATATACCACTAATGCAAACCCCTTCCCTTCAATGCTTAGTGCTTGAATCCTTGAAAATGTCCATGTCTTTCTACACCAGACCAAGAATTACTTACAGTCCTGCTGTACCATGTGTCCCTCTCCATTTGTAACGTAACTGGGTAACCCTTTCATGCTGTTTGATCCTAAAGGAGTCCTAAATTGCTGCTAGAGGCATGATGTAGCCTTTTTTTTCAGCTCAGAACAGCAAAACCTTTGTTTCCTGTAGTGTAAAAAGTCAGCAGTTCAGTTTCTTGCTTTACACATAGCTGCTGTTTTTGCATGAGAGTGACTGACTCCCTTCACTTGAGGAATCCCTTCAGGGAAATGAAGGCCTAAGCCAGTGCTTCACCAAACAAACACTCTGGTGCTGGACCCTAACTCACTTCCACAACAGCAGAAAGCCTTGTAAGGACTCACTTGGATTATGGCTCCTACAGATTTGAAGGGTGGGATTTGTTGATTTTTTGTACTGTTGCAAATTATCTTGTTCTATGAGGGTAAGAGGCTGTAAGTGGTTCAGGTGTGCCATTGCCTAACAATCCTCCTTAGGCCGTAGCTCTGCTACTCACGGACGTTTAAAACCAGAAAGAAACCCCAAGGGTGTTGTGTGTAAAGGGCTGACCAGCAAACCTGTCAAGTGCCAGAGGCTCTGGAACCCCCGAAGAATACAGGCAAGTATTCCCTGAATATGCAACTGCTATTGCATCTGAGCAGAGTACAGATCTGCTTCAGTCGTGCTCCTTTGCTGTCTCCCACTGCAGGAGGCCTTACCTGGGCTCTTGTTGCACACAGTAGTTCTCAGGATGCTCCTGTTCTCCTCCTGTGCGTTAAACCCGAGTCTGTGCACTCAGCTGTCCTGCACCAGGAGCTGTGTCTGTCTGTCCTGCAGATCTGAGAGAGGCCTGTGCTCTGCTGTGGGAAGAGGCTGAGCACTGCCGGCAGTGGTGGAAGGGAAATGGGTTCCCAGCTCTCCATCTCCTGCTTCTCAAGCAATGGAACTGAGATTTTAAAGGCAGTCAGGATTTTTCTTTCTCTTGCTCTTCTCCATGGCCTGTCTAAGGATGTACCTTTACTCTGGCTTTCATATGGCTGGCTTACCCCAAGACTGTAAGGGGAGAGCTGAGAAGTCTTTTCTGTGTGTGCAGTCAAATCCAACTTAGAAAAACAAACCCAGGGCCTTCCTGAAGGTACTGAGGATTTGAATACAAGTCAGACTGGGTAAGGGAAAAGGAATCCTTAAAACTTATGACTTTATGAAAAGCCACTGTTCTTGTGGTTCCTGGGCAAGGTGAATTACATCTCTTTTTTTAAATGTGATGTTCACAATCACTCCAGGTTGGTGGGGACCTCACACCATCACCTGGCCCCACCTTTTGTGGAAAAGAAAGCCTAGGTGGGATTTTCTAGCCCCCTGCCTAGCTGTGTCTGGAGAACTTCCATTGATGGGGACTCTCAATTGCTCTAACTGAAAAAAATTTCTCTCTTTTACGAAGATGAAAAAATTTCCCTTCTGTGCTTCTGGTGTCTATTACCTACAAAATAATTAAGAATTACTTTATTTGTGCTATGACATTTTTACTCATTTAAAACTTTGTCAGAAGTCTGTTCTCAATGCATTTAATTTTATTGCAATACAGCAGACCACAAAAGCCTTTCTGGTCTTACCACGGGACTCTTAAAAACAAACAAACAACTGAACAAATAATCTTTACTTGCAATCAGCTGAACCTGAGCAGGTTGGTTTAATTCTGTTATGTCCTTCCTGTATTCTTGAGGGGTCTGGCCAGTTTAGAATAATTTTGTCAAATATTTTGTACAGCAGTATGTAATAAAGTTCAGTTTATTATGTTTATTATTAAATTTCAGTACTGACTGTGTCACATGCTTGGCAAAGTGTGAAGTACATATGGCTGCAGGCAAAAAGACTACAAGAGAAAGTTTTGTGCACAAAAAAATCCATAATAATTTGCTTAGATGCTTACATGCTGCACTTTATTACAATTGAATCATCAAAAAAGCCATTAACTGGACATACCCAGAAATGTAAAAATGTGTTTGATTCTCTGAATAATCTCTTCTGGCCTTCTGAAGAGAATAAATAAACAACCCCATCAGGAGCTGCAAAAATCAGGTTCCAGTAGGGACAGGTTTAGATCTGCAAATTAATTCAGAAATTGAACACAATGCATGGAAATGTATTTCCAACAAGAATATGGAAAAATATATATAATGATTTTTCATCTTCAAAATGGAGTGAAGTATCTAAGATACCTGAAACTAGTTTCATTCTGCCTGATGCAGGAAAATATCACAGTAGTTCTGTTGCTGCTGTACAGGGACAACTGTTTAGGGCTTAATTTTTGTGTAAAGGACACTCTCTAAGAGGTGTTCAGTCATAATGCATTGATTATGGTATTGAATTCTCTAACTCAGTTCTACTAAGTTCTCCTCTTTTTGCTTTTCCAGTCATCTTTGTTAAATGTACTAATTGTGCAAAAACATTTGTCATGTTCTTTGATTATAAACTCTAAAAATTATCATTTCTCCCCACAATAGCCTCAGCAGATTCTGAACTCCTGTAGCCACCAGAAAAGCTGGAAGCAACAATTTGCTTTATTGTTTTGCCTTCTAGTTTGTATCTTTTTCTCAACCTGCCTCATTATTAAGGTAATTTGTAGAAATCTCATGTATTTCAGACTTCTGTCCTCACATCAATTTTGGATTAAATTGTCCAATCCTCTTAAAAGATACTCTGGGGGCCTAGAATTATTTTAAGAAACAAGACTAGAAGTGCATGCATTTTTTCACTGCCACTTCCATGACAACTGTATTTCATCACAACAGCGTGGCTTGTCTGGAGTAGAGGATACAGAGACCTCAACGATTCAGAAGGAATCATTAGTGTACTAAAAATGGCAGTGGCAAAATCTGCCTGGTAATGGTAGCAGTGTGTATCTGGAAAGGAGAAAGTACACAAAATATTCTGCTTGAGGTACAGGAAATCAGGATTGTGGATCCTGTGAGCTTCTGAGGCTTTCTTGGAGAACCTTTACTGTCTGATAAAAAGACCCTGGGGCAGAAGAGTGAAGAATAGAGCTACTTCACTACACTGATATGCACTGACAATTACTTTTTACTTTAATACAATTTTGCCATTGTCCTTTTCACATACGGTGTGGGAGAAAGTCCTGCAACCTTTTTAACATTTAATCTTATCTCCAGGTCGAAGGGTACAGATTCTGCTTTAGTCAACTGACTGTGCTGGATGGAGTTATGCCAGGAAGAGACAAGGTTTAAAATGTGTAGACTTAAAAAGAACTATGCTTCTGAATGTGAAACATCTAAACCCTCATCTAATTTGAAATATATTTTAAACATCAACGGCAGACCTGTCTTTATATATTATTAAGTACCAAATGCTGGCAAAAATTTACTTGCACCTGGTGATCTGCTTCTTTATCTAGATGCCGTCCTACAACATAATCTGCCTCACTGCAAGTTGAGTTTGATGTTGCTGCTTCTCAGGACTTTATTCCATCACCAACTTCTATTTTTAATGACAATGTAACACTTCGAAGTCCTATTTGCATTTACTAAGTGCGTCTTGCTGACTTACTCTCAAATGAACGTAGGAATTCATGTGTCTATTTCACTTCAAAACAAACTCGTGTGAAAAACTATTTATGGGATCGGCAGCTTTTTGTAACAACGCCAAGGTCACGGGATCAATCAATGCCTACATGAATCGGCCACTCACTTTAAGAGCTAGACTCGACGATTCTTTCAAGTCCTTTCCAACTCAGACTAAGAAAGAAGAGAAATTACTCTTGCCCAGAACTCCTGAACTACTTACTGCACTGTTCCTGGCCGCAATTTCCGTTTCAAAGCATCTTAAGAGCTTTGATGCGCCTCTGGTGCGTCTGCTCTGCCTTCACCTCAGATGACTCCTTTCCCCCCCTCACAGAACTGCCTGAGCGTTTGTGCGCCTACAGCCGGCTATCAGGGGAGCGGGATGGGGCTGAGGGCTGCCCCTCTCCTGCGGCGATGCGGCACCGTGAGGTGGCCTGGGGTGTATTTGAGCACTGACGAGCCGCCGGTGGGGCGGAGAGGAGCCCCGAGAGGGCCCAGCCGGCGCCAGCCCCGCGGCTCCCTCAAGCCGGTCCCGCCGCAAGATGGCGGCGCCTCGGCCCCGCCCGCGCCCGCCTCGCCCAAGATGGCGGCGGGGGCCCCCCCCCC